GTTGACCGTCAAATAAGACGCTAACCCATTAGGCTTGGCGTTTTGGCCTCGTCTACTCTGGATGTATAGGCAGGGGAGCGCCTTTTAGAACACTGGATGTAGAGGCCGTCTAGGCGCGCCTTTTAAAACACTGGATGTAGAGGTTAATATTGTTTCAATTACTTCGATCTGTCTTTACTCTTTAATGTGACTATATTTTTTCTGTAAAACGGTATTATAGTAACTTCAATTTATTTACCCAACAAAAGAGAACTACAAAACCAGGGAAGTTCAATCAGTTCAGTCTACTTAAGCAGATGCAAAGAACTTCTGCTTCATATGTTCAAATTTCTGAACTTCACAAGAACTGTCAAAACAAAATCAGAAAAATACACACAACTGACTGCACATTAGCGTCTTTGCGCATTCAAAATACTGTTACGGGAGAGTTACAAAACATATATATATTCCAACGGTCTAAGAGAGAAGTATACACAACGAAGAATATCTTCTTCATCCATAAAGTTTTTGTGGGAGACAAATCTGTAAGAAGCTTCATGCAGTAGTCAAGCAGTTCTCCCAGGTCCCATATTTCGAGCTAAAACTTCCTCCGCCACTTTGCTGTGCATACTCGGAAATAACAGCACGAGCACAAATATCCCAAGTCCTTGCTATCTCACTGAGTGACATGGGTTGTGAGAGGGTTCGGAGAGAGATGCTAAATCTTGATTTTGCCTTTATGGAGATATCTTCATACTCTTTGCTGCATATACATGGAATTACAAAATATATCAGCATATGTGGATATCAATCTGATAATATGCAAGTGAAAACACTAGCCACAAATTGGAGAAAAGAAAGCAGGCTTGTGGGGAAGAGGTATTCACAGTACAGGTGTACATTGAGCTGAACCTGGGTTTCAAGGCTGCCAGCTCTCTACTAACAGAGAAAACAAGAAAAGAAAAAAAAATGCAAGGTTCGCACAGCAATGCCAGAATTATTAAACGCACATCTAAAAAGCACGAAGCTATCCTTTTTTCCCCATCTTCCCATACATTTGCCCCAATCCCAAATTTCTAGATTTTGTCTCCATAGTTCAAGAAATTAATTCTGTAAAGACTAGACCAAAGTAATGTTCATAATTTTTCTCTGTTTGGACAGAAATATAGAACTACCAATTTTTTGTCTCACCTGCTTTGGGATGGAACGGCCCAAAAAATACCAAGGCAACATTATGTATTTAGTGCTTGTTTGGTATTGCTTTAAAGTACTAATAAGCAGTGGATCCATCAGAATGTATGCATAATAAGTGAGTAATAAGTTGTGAATCTTACAAAATGTGTGGGTAAAAAAGAGTGTTCGACCAGCTTAAAGAAAAAGTTGAACAATGCCAAACCTACCCTTGGTCCAAGTATACAATATCTTACTGTAGTGGCAATATTCTTCCACATCCCAAGAGTTCCAATAGAAGGACTTAAAGTAGGCCTTCCTTGGTGCCTCCCACAAGCTGAGTGATAATCATCAGTAAGACCTTTGTTCATAAATCTAACCCCAAAGAGCATTTCTAAATTCAGAATGCTCTAATCCCTCTTGACGTGCAGTACGTTTGTGGTTGTTAAATTATGCTCTACGTGAAAGCATTCAGGCGCTTTGAAAGAAGTGAGAGGAAAACAGAGTCCAGATGTAACAAAGGTTTCAAGGGAACAGTTTCCTTGATCCTCGTTCAATAACATTACAAACTTAATTCGAAATATTGATGGAAATGAATTAATTACACACGCTACTTACTGATAATTCTAATTCGTGTCAAACTTTGTGGTACCTTCGCATCTCAATTTCCTTCAATTATCCCCACATCGTTGATATGAATAAAACCATCATAGATGCAAACACAGTGGGCCCCTGGAAACTGATCAATTGCATGATCAAGCTAACCAAAAGGCAGCAGATAAAAACAGCAGACCACTATTCCTATCACATGTTCATAGAATTCAGCAAGTCTGTTACACATTGACCCTCACGAGTCATTGGGAGCGTTTAATTTGACAATGAACAATTGAAGAACAAGAAGAGAAGAATTGAGGGCATTGATGAAAATCAATTTTATTCATACAATCAAGGGTGAATATTATAATAAATAAGCCCCCCATTTATTGAGCAACTCATCTAAAATTAAAAGAACTTCTAATAAGCTATAACTTTATAGGAATATTAAATATAATCTAAGCGATCATAATATGAATTAAACTATTATTTTAAATCCTTATCTAACTTTTGTTTCTATTCTATCTTTATCTCCATCAGCTAGTCCATTAACATTGCCAGTACTTATAATGCTCGGACTCGAGTACGTATTTAAGTATCATATCTTTTATTTTCTAAAATGTAGGATACGAGGACATGGCTAAAAAGAGTCCAAATTTCGTAAATATCGCTTTTTTATCAACCTTATTAACCTATCAACACTATTAATATGGCTTTTTTTGTCAACCTGATTAACCTAAAAACATTAGTAGCAATGGAAACAATAACTCATTTGACTAAAATCACAAAAATTGTGGAACAGTTCGAAGATATAAACCCCGTAAAAATTGTCGTATCCGGAGGGAGTACCCGTACCCGTGTCCTGTCGTGTCGACACGGGTACTTCGGCCATTTTGAAGAGTCCGAGCATCACTGGCCAGTACAACTCAGTAATCATATGGAATGTTCAGAGTTACTGAGGAGAAAATACGTGACTTGTCACAACATAGCCTAGTATTTTCAAACCAAGGAGTTTCAAATTTTGCACTATCAACTCTTCTAGCGCAAAGTCTAAAATGCAGCTCAATGTTGGAGAAATGTGTCTAGCAATCAGGGTTTTCAGGTTTGGTTAACTGTTCTTGTAACTTTTCACATTGCTAGACAGAGAAAAGAATAAGCTATCATGGGTTCAGCCAGTTAGAGTTTTCGAATTGTGTTGTCCCTTGTCAAATTGTGGCCCTGATATATTTACCAATATCTTGTGCTTATTTACTATTTGGAACTGTAGTTTGTGAGTTTTCACGGGTTATGTGCATTTTCTCTCTTTTTGCATAGCCCATGTGTTCTCTGCGTACATTGAAAACCACTTAACGTGTGAGTCAAAAAGTTCAAACTACAATAACAAAAATAAAAGTGTAATATAAAATTTTCTAGAATGCAAGTGCCAAATTCTATGTTTCTCACCTGACTTCAACTGGAAACTTGTCCAAAAGTATTGGCGAGCAATTTGGATAGTTGTTGGGAACAAGTAAACGTAAAGGTTGAATTGGGGACTGCATTCCAGTAAAAGGTATAGTCATAACATTTGTACATAAGATATAGTTGTAACAAGTGGTATTAACATGGCTCAAAATCTCACCATTTGTGCCGAAGCATATTGTGATTTCAAGTTTGGACTAAGAGCCACGGCGCTAAAAGAGCACTTCACGATGGTTCCATCTCCACCTTTGGCAGTAGCAGCTACTGCAGTTGGATCCACAACTTCATCACTAATATATACCACTGTATCTATCAATCTTTCATTTATCTCCTGTAATTCTTCTTCAAGTGCATGGTTAGCCTGCAAAACAGTGGACAATTATGCTCAGAAAGAAGGAAGCAAGATGTGCATAGTGCACTATAAGTATTTTCTCATTGAAATCAGTAGGCGCAATACATAAAATGAATGGAGGAATACTCTATACAACCAATGGCATGGCATCACTATAATAATTACCACTGAAGTGAATTAATCAAGGATCTGACACACATAAATGGAAATTTACTTAACTTATAATAAGGTCCAATACGACCTGCCTTTTAGGATATATCGGAACCCTAAAAACAATGAACTATCTCTGAACAAAAAGCTGAGTAGACCTCCTATGTTCCACAGTACCATTTCACCAAAATCCCATGAGACATTAATAATGACAAAAAAAGGAAAAGGATAGAGGAAACAATTAGGACTACTGATAGGGTAGTATTTCAATTGAATCCACGGAGTTCTCTTTTATCTAATCCTAGAAGAGGCAAACATCTAGAGATAATACTATCATGTCATCTCAATGCCTCAATGTAAATCTACAGTTTTGATTTCGCTGTTCCCTTTTCATTTAATACTAAAGGTGTTCAAATTCCTCTATTAGGGTATTTCTGTTTTTCCAATACTTCAAGAATCTTAGTAGTTTGCCAGAAAGCTCGAGGGTAAAGAAATTTACTCGTGCTGTTAGATAGTAGCGATGGTGCATAAACATCTTCTCAGGTGTCAATCATAGCCAAGTGTAATGATGGAAAAGTCAGATATTCTCACATTCATAGATCTGCTATGATTTGATAAAAATGTAACCCCTATACCAAGGCCACCAAGATTGGACATAGACATAGATATCTCTGAGTTTAATCAGTTTCCAAATTTGATTAGGTCAAGTATTGTCCAGTCCAAGTCTCAGTCCCGTAAATATACCCTTTGTAAACAGAGATGTATTCCTTCATCCATATCAAAAAGAGATCATTCCTCCAAATCAGTTTCTTGGTACAGAGCTTTTCTCTAATCCTAGGCTCTAGTTTCTTCCCTCTCTTCAAAACCTCTAAAAGTAGTCTCAAATTAACTCTGCTTTGACCCATGTTGCACCTTCAAGCCTTAATAGGCAGATGAAGACGAACAAGGGAGAAGAACGACCAACAAAGGCAGTGTGACTATAGCAATAAGACAACATATACCAGAGAGACGCTAGAAGCTTCAAGGGAAACCTACTAGTTTGAAAAACTCAAGTCTTCCCAGAGAAAAATCATGCTTTTCAGGCTGCAGGTGACAAACCCCATCCAGCCATCTCAGGAGTGGCCAGAGTCTCAACCTTTCAAGAATGAGTGGTTAGAGCTATTGCCCATGTTTATAAATCAATCCGAAAACAACAAAATCCTTCACCCTCTTTCTCTCTAACCCAGCAACTCACTTTTTCGGTGGCCCAACGGTTTATCCTGGGGAAAGATTCCTCGGATAATTGATTCAGGATCAACAGAACACAACACCAGTTCTAAAACATTTATTTTACATATTTCAAGCTTTTGTGAGCATCAATATGGAAAAATATTGTCTTCAGTAGCAGGGGTTGGTCGTTTTCCTATTTTAAAGAATCTTATGCTAAATTACTTTCGTCATGTCCCAAAATTACCTTGATATCTACTCTCAGTGAGATGGAAGCATTTTTTCCCTTTGTATTCCCTCTTAAACATATCAAGCTATGAAGAGTAAATAAAGATTCTCGAGTCGAAGCATAAAAAGAACACAAATAGTAAAAAGTACTATATCAAGGCAATTTTGGTAGTCAAAACTCACAGATAAAATATTGTCAAAATTAACTCGTATCAAAATTGGAAAAATTAAAATATGAACATATATTAGAGAGATCAGAGATGAAGTTCAAATTTATCAGAAATTTATTTTGTAGTATGAAACCAACAGACAGAAATTTCGTACTAGATAATTAACATATGTTTTTGATAGCGTATGAGGTGCTCCAGCATTCGTTCTACCCAAGTTGTTGGTAATACAGCTTAAACACGTTCAAGTGCCTAAATCCATAAATTGAATATCTTTGTACACAGTTCATTTCTTACTTTCCCCAAAAGTGAGATTACTAGTATGGCATTTAACTTTTTTGAGGAACTTGGCCCTATTTTTCATTAGGAACCACACAGTTGGCCTTTTGTTACCTCCATTTCCCTGGAATACATCAACATGCATGAATTGCATTACTCTTGACACTTATCAATAATTTATTATCATCAACAAAAGTGTGAAGAGTATATAGCACGAGATGAATACAGAAATGAAAAATAAAATTTTCTAACCTTAAATACTTTTTTCCATAATAAAACTTGGTTATCGATCTGTTCTGTGGGAAAAAGAAAGAATTAGCAGAAAGTACCTCAATTCTAGGCCTTTTAATGCTAGATGCACCAGTGGACTCTCCATCAGATTCATTACCATTTAACTGATAGAAACTATCATTTACACTTCCAGTAGACGAAACAACATTTGATGGCATTGCACTTGTATAACGTCTCATTCTCTTTGTACCACTCGATCCATCTTGTGCGAAAAAGTTTCTGGCCTGCAACCGACACTTTGTCATCGCAACCAAATCTTCACCCACTGCTGCTCTTGATCCATTTCCTGGAGCAGATCCAGCAATTCTATCAATCATACTAACTACTGAGCTGATGTCACTAACCGAGGAACTCAATGCTTTAGGTGACATAGACTTCACCTGATAAAAGAAAAAAAGAAAAAAATAGAACTGGTATAAAATTAAGAGGATACACTTTAGAAGTAATTGGTATACCACTTAAGTAATCATGAAAGAGTCTCGTACTAACCACTTTAATTAAGCGTTCAAGTGGTTGTTCTACAACATTTGAGTTTCCCAAAACCATGGGTGATACAACACCGTGAGTACCATCGGGACTGGTAAATTCAGCAAGTAAAGGTGAGGCAGATATCCCAGGAGTGCCAATAGCAAGGGATTGCGCTGGTATGGATGCTCCAGTTGTTTGATGATGACCAGGATTTGCAGCATTAGACAGGGATGCAACAACAGAGTTCATTTTATCAGACTCGCCTGGGATGATTGATGGAGTCATGGAAGTTGATGGAGATGGAACAACAAATGGAGAGTTTGCAGATTGCAAGGGGGTTCCAGTCTTTGGATGAGACGTCAGAAGATTCTGCTGGTCAATTTGGGGGGAAAGATGCACCTGAGGGGATGATGCCTGAAGGACTTGTGGTGAGGAAGTAGAGAATGGAGTTCCAGGCTTCAGTGGTTGGTGATATGATGAACGCTGGCCAGAGGAATGATGTTGCTGAAGAACTCCTGATTTGACACCCATCTGCTGCCTCATCTTCATTTCATTTGTCTCATTCATCTGATGCTGTAACATTTGATGTGCCGCGAACTGCACAGATTGCTGCTGATTTGTTTGCTGCTGCTGCTGAATTAAGTGCTGTCTTTGCATATATTGCTGCTGTATCGGCTGCCGCTGCTGAAATTGTTGTTTATTCTGCTGCGTTGGAAACATTAGTTGCTCCTGTTTTACATGCTGGTTTGGAAGTATATTTGAAGTAGGTTGTAGTGGATTATGGCTTGACTGCAATGTTGAAAGTCCACTATGAGATGATATCGAGTTCATGTTCACCTGTTGTTGACCACTGGCAGGATTTTGTAGAGAGCCCATAGCTACTTGTTGAAGGGAGTTCAGAGCATTGCCCTGACCTGGATCCATATTAGAACCAGATTGCAGTGCATCCATCATGTTTTGGCGAGAATTTGAAACACCAGAAACAGAAGATGAGGAATTATTCTGTGAATTGGTTACATTA